GGGTAGCTGCTCTTGCTCTTCCCCATGGCCTCGCGGCACCCGGCCTTTTCCTTCCACCAGCGGGTCACCCTGCGGGAGCACCTGGAGCGGCTGCGGAGGGCCTTATGCGGGGACCAGGAAGAGGAGACCTTCAGCCGCCACCAAGCCCAGGTAACGCCGTGCCCTGGTCTCTTCCCGCAGCGCCATCTCTTCAGGCAGTTTCCTCTTTCTCCCTTCACTCCCTCCCAGTTTGCCAGGAGCCGAAGTGGCCTCTTTCCTTCCTCCAAAGCTCCCTCCCCTCCCAGGTTGGGATGTGGCCCCTCTTGTGCGTTCCTCATTGCTCATCATAGCTTCCCCCCTTCCCAGGGCAGTGTACGCCCCCTTCCCTGCCCCCACCCCCAGCGAGCGTAGAGAGTCCCATTGGAATTTCACCTTGTGATGTAATAGTGCCCGGCTATGACGTAGTAGAGTCAGGTGGGGGAGGGGGGGCTTCTCCCTCCAGCCTGCCATTGCTTTGGTGCGCTGCTTTTTGGATCCTGCGTGGCTAGAGTGCAGGATGCAAAGGCTTTCCAGAGCTTGACTGGCTCCCTTGTACATTGCAGGCCATTAAAATAGTCGTATGATCCAAGATTTGAACAGTAAAAGCGACAACTTGACTGAACTTGCAAAATTATACTACTACTAGATAGGAAATATACATGCCTAAGGGTGCTTTCCCCACTGGGTTAAAACAATGGAATGGGTTGAGGTAATTTTTATATGGAACCTGCTCTCAGCTGAAAATGAGACTTATGCTTGGACTTGGCAAGGATCAGGGCTATAATCAAGGGTCAGCGCCTGTAAAGCTAGTTCGCTGAAAGGCTATGTTCTATAAGATGGCTGAAGACCTTTGGGGATGGGTGGTAATCGTTTTACTATATGAGCAAATTAAAATGTCACAATTGGCGCTTCTGTTAAGAGAAAAGTTTAATTTCTGGGTGGCTATCTGGAAACAGCAAAGTGCATCTTGAAAGCAGTTGTGCCACTTGTTGCTAGAAGGTTGCTGTCCCAGAGAACGAAGACTTTCAGTGAGTGGCACTGAACTATTCTCATATGCAGCAGCTATATATAAGCTGATATTTTCCCCTAGTGGCATTCATTCGTGCCCTTTTGATGAGTATTTCTTTTAAAATCTGCCCCATATTTATGCAACCAAGTCGTCATCTTGGAGCTCTACGGGTTTTGGTCTATAGATGGCCTCTCATGCAAAGAGGAAGAACGGGCTTGAAAGATAGATATTTATAATGCAGACAGGCTGGTAAACTGCACACATCAGATTTTCATTGGGTACTCAACAGAAAGAGGTACAAAACTGTAGAGTGTTTTTTTAGTTTACTTAAAAGTGCTATCAAATTCAGCCACTCCTAGAAAAAACTGTTATAGCGTGGCCTGCAATACTGTAGGAATGTCCCCTCTTTCTGTTTGGTAAAGACAGGATATGCTTTTGAGGACTACGCAGAGGAGACAGGGATGAATTTTTAAGACTTCAAATACATTAAGTAAATGCTTGTATCGCTCAAAGGCCAAAGCACATTTGGCAGGTCATAAACTAGTGGGTGGATGTTATGGTACTGAAATCATAACGAATGCATAGCACAACTCCAAAAAGTGTTTGTTTTGGCTCAGTGACCTGCATCAAGTCTAGCTATACCAAAATGAATCCTGGAAGTCCCTCTTAAGGAGAGGGTTGGATTGCAGGAAGTGGTAAGGCTGGACACTGTTCTTGCTGTGTTTAAAGTGCTAATAACTAGAAACATAACTGAAACTGGCACATCAATTATAACTGCTCAGTATGTCTCACCAAATGCATTAGGAGCTCAGACTCATGAACTACTGGAATTGAGATCTATTTTGTATAGCATTCTGGCCTCAGTTTAAAAGCAGTCTTCCAAGTTGTAGTGGTTTCATTTACTAAGGGAACACTGAGAGACCCAGATCAGCTTGGCTGAACAAACACATCACATAGTCTACACAGGACTGAAACTGCATCTCTTCTGTAGGCTTTTTTTCTTTCTTTCCTGATGGTTAAACTGTAAACACAGCAGGGCCTCTTCTGGGAAATAATGGCCGACTGGGAGTGGAGGGATTGATGGACTGCATGTTTTCAGTTCACATTCATATGGACTGTAGGACCCTGGCAGGTAAAACATTGGAGGGGATGCAGTTACTGGTGTGGTTAAAGATTTCCCTGGCTAAATGCAGCTGTACTGTTAAATTGGGCCAGATTTAAAACCCTGCCAGGTGACCACATGCTCCTTTAATCTATGTAATTTAATACAGTGTCTGCCTTCAGGGCTCTGCATTTGTGAACTAAAACGGTTTATAAAGACCTCTTATATTTTTCTTTTGCCAGCCTCGGGTAAGAAGGGTTGGGCTCCCTCTTTGGTTTTAACCAGTTCCGTGGTCTTATAGCCATCAACTTTGTAGCACTAATAACTTTACCTGCCTTTCTGATTTTAGCGGTGCCTTGTGTCTCTCCCAGTAGTGTCCTGGAAGCTCAAGGCTTTGCCTGCGTGGACTATGTCACTGAGGGCCAGACCCGCATGCTTGCCTCGTTACTGTGCCACACGGTCACACAGGAAGTTTCTGGAGGAGACAGTTCCTGTCACGTTTAGGGTGGGCTGCACCTTTCTCCACACTTCATTCCGCCCCCTCACGAGGGGGGGAAGCTGTGCTCCCCTAAAGTGGGAACTTCCCCCTGCCCCTTCCCCCATTAAATAGGGGCAGCCAGTTTCCAGGGGGCGAGGGCAGAAGAAACTATCCCAGCGAGAGAGGGGGAGGGCAACCCTTAACTGCCAAGATGTCTCTCCCCTTTCCCAGCCTGAGAATAGTTGGGGGGGGGCAGGACGGGGGACCTTTTGCTTTGTTTGCGGGGAGGCAGCTCGATGGTGGCGCCCCCCAGCTCCGTGAGGGCAGCGCCCCCGTCCCCTGCCCCCCGCGTGCCGCGAGGGGAAGGGCACAGCTCCACAGCTCCCTGGCCAGCCGCGCCGCGACCCCCATCCCCGCGCAGAGATGCGGTGAG